GTCTCTTTCCCTTTCCTTGGGCCTCCTCTTTCCCTGAGACACAGTGATATGAAAATTAGGCCCATTAATAACCCTACAATGACTTCCACAGGTTCAAGCAAGAGGAAGAGTTGTATGTCTCTCACTGCAATCAAAAGCTAGGAATTATGATCTTAGTGAGAAAGGCATGTCAAAAGCCAAGATAAGCCAAAAGCCAGTCTTCTTGAATTGTGCAGTTAGCCAAGTGGCAAATGCAAAGGAAGTGTTCTTGAAGGAAATTAAAAGTGCTGCTCCGATCGTGCCACTGCACTCCAGCCTGAGTGACAGAGTGAGACTCCGTCACACACACACACACACACACACACACACACACACACAAAAGTGCAACTCCAGTGAACACATGAATGATAAGACAGTGAAACAGACTTATTGCTAATAGGAAAAAATTTAGTGGCCTGGATAGAAGAGCAAACCAGCTACAACATTCCCTAAAGCCAAAGCCTCATCTCAAGAGCAAAGCCCTAGGTCTCTTTAATTCCTTGAATGCTAAGAGATGAGGAAGCTGCAGAAGAAAAGTTGGAAGCTAGCAGAGTTTGCTTCATGAAATGCAAGAAAAGAAGCCATCTCTGTAACATAAAAGTGCAAAGTAAAGCAGCAAGTGCTGATGGAGAAGCTACGGCAAGTTATCCAGAAGATCTGGGAAAGATCATTGATGAAGGTAGCCACACCAAAGAACAGATTCTCGGCGTAGACAAAACAGCCTTTGATTGGAAGAAGATGCTGTCTAGGACTTTCATAGCTAGACAGAAGACATCAATTCCTGCCTTCCAAGTACAGGCTGGCTCTCAACAGGGGTTAAGGTAGCTGGTGACTTCAAGTTGAAGCCAATGCTCATTTTACATTCCCAAAATTCTGGGGTCTTTCAGAATTTTGCTAAATCTACTCTGCCTGTGCTTTGTAGGTGGAACAACAAAGCCTGGATGATAGACATCTGTTTATAGCATGGCTTACTGAATATTTTAAGCCTACTGCTGAGACCTACTGCTCAGAAGAAAAGATTTCCTTTGAAATATTACTATTGACAATGCACCTGGTCACCCAAGAGCTCTGCCGGAGACATACAAGGACACTAATGATGTTTTCCTGCCTGCCAACCCAATATCCATCTTGTAGCCCATGGATGAAGGAGTAATTTCAACTTTCAAGTCTTAGTATTTAAGAAAGACATTTCCTAAGTCTATAGCTACCATAGGTAGAGATTCCTCTGATGTATCTGGGCAAAGTAAAGCAAAAACCTTCTGGGAAGGATTCAGCATTCTAGATGCCATTAGAACATTTATGATTCATGGGAGAAAGTCAAACTATCAACATTAACAGGAGCTTGGAAGAATTTTACTACAACCCTCATGGATGACTTTGAGGGTTTCAAGACTTCAGAGGAGGAAAGAACTGCTGTTGGTAGAAGCTGAAAGAGAGCTGAAATTTAAAGTGAATCCTGAAGACGTGACTGAATTGCTGCAAGCTCATGATAAAATTTTAATGGATGAGGAGTTGCTTCTTATGAATGAACAAAGAAAGTGGTTTCTTGAGATGGAATCTGCTCCTGATGAAGATGCTGTGAACATTATTAAAATGAGGACAAAGTATTTAGAATAGTACACGAACCTAGTTGATAAAGTGTGACAGGGTTTGGAGGACTGACTCCAATTTTCAAAGAAGCTCTACTATTCGTAAAATGTTATGAAACAGTATTGCATGTTTCAGATAAATCTCTCATGAAGGGAAGAATCAATCCATGCAGCAAATTTCATTATTGTCTTATTTTAATAAATTGCCACAGCCACCTCAACCTTCAGAACCACCATCCTGATCACTCAGCAGCCATCAATATGAAGGCAAGATCCTCCACCAGCAAAAAGATTAGGACTTGTTGAAGGCTCAGATGACTGTTAACATTTTTTAGAAATAAAGTATTTTAGGACAGCCTGGTGGCACATGCCTATAATCCCAGCACTTTGGAAGCCCGAGGCAGGTGGATCACTTGAGGCCAGGAGTTTGAGACCAGCTTGGCCAACATGGCAAAACCCGATCTCTACTACAAACCAAAACTAGCCAGGCATGGTGGTACACGCCTGTAATCTCAGCTACTCAGGAGGCTGAGGCAGAAGAATCACTTGAACCTGAGAGACAGAGGTTGCAATGACCCAAGCCTAGGCGACAGAGTGAGACCCTGTCTCAAAAAAAGAAAGAAAGAAAGAAGAAAGAGAGAGAGAGAAAGAAAGAAAGAAGAAAGAAAGAAAGAAAGAAAGAAAGAAAGAAAGAAAGAAAGAAAGAAAGAAAGAAAGAAGGAAAGAAAGAAAGAAAGAGAAAGAAAGAAAGAAAGAAAGAAGGTATTTTAAAGCTAAGGTCTATACATTGTTGTTTTTTTTTAAGACCTAGTGTTATTACACACTTAATAAACTAAAGCATAGTGTAAATATGACTTTTATATGCACAGGGTAATCCAAAAATTTATGTGACTCTCTTTATTGTGCTATTGGCTTTATTGCAGTGGTCTCGAACCAAACCCGAACTGTCTCTAAGGTATGCCTTGTATTTGCCCAACAGGCACTTGGAAATGTGCCCCAAAAGATATGAATGAGAATGTTCATGGTGGCATTGTTTGTCACAGCCAATTACTGGCACCAGCCCAAGTTTCCACTGACAGAATAATGAGTCAATTATTTAGTTATCAATAGTCATAGTATTAAGTACTATGCAGAAGCTGAAAATGGTTCAGATTGATATATTCATGTTCCGTGTTTCTACTCAGATAATGCTAAAAATGTATTAAGAATAGTCTTAGAAGCTTATATGAGCAAAGAGCATCATCCAAAAAGTGAAAAAAAGCCCATAGAATGGGAGAAAATATTTGCAAATCATATATCTGATAAGTGACATATATCCAGAATATATTAAGTGTTCTTGCACTTCAAAAATAAAAAGATAATAGGCAGGGTGTGGTGACTCACACCTGTAATCCCAGCACTTTGGGAGGCTGAGGCAGGGGAATCACTTGAGGTTGGGAGTTCGAGACCAGCCTGACCAACATGGAGAAACCCTGTCTCTACTAAAAATACAAAAATTAGCCAGGCATGGTGGCATATGCCTGTAATCCCAGCTCCTTGGGTGGCTGAGGCAAGAGAATCGCTTGAACCTGGGAGGCAGAGGTTGTGGTGAGCCAAGATTGTGCCATTGCACTCCAGCCTGGGCAACAAGAGCAAAACTCCATCTCAAAATAAATAAGAAGATAAGTAATTTTATTTTAAAAATGGACAAAGGATCTGAACAGACATTTCTCCATAAAAAGGTATACAGCTAGCCAACAAGAACACGAAGACATGCCCAGTATCATTAGTCATCATGGAAATGCAAATCAAAGTCATTGAGAGATACCCCTTCACACCCACTAGGATGGCTGGAGTCAAAAAGAGACAATAAGAGATGTTGCTGAGGATATGGACAAGCCAGAATCCTCAAACACTGCTAGTGGGAATATGAAATGATGCAGCTGCTTGGAAAACAGTCTAGCAGCTCCTCAAAAGGTTAAACATAGAGTTCCCATATGACCCAGCACTTCCTCTCCTAGGTATACACCCCAAAGAATTGAAGCATGTGTCCACACAAAAACTTGTACAGAAATATTACTAGTAGCATTATTCAAAAAGCTAAAAAGTAGAAACAACCCAAATAGCCATCAATGGATGAATAAATAAATAAAATGTGATACCTTCATACTATGGAATATTATTGTGCAATAAAAATGAAGAAATATAAATACATGCTATAACACACATGAATGGTAAATACTGTGTGCTAAGTGAAAGAAACCAGATGCAAGAAGTCACATATATGATTCACTTTCTGTGAAATTACCGGACTAGGAAACCCTCTAAAGACGGTTGTCTAGGTCTGGGAGTGGGGCAGTTTCAGGGGAAGAGGAGAGGGCTGTTCATTGGCACCCGCAGGTATTTTTGGCTTGGCATGAATGGTGGTGATGAAAATGTTCTAAAACTGATTGTAGTGATGGTTGTGCAACTTTCCAAATATACTAGAAACCATTGAATTGTACACTTTGAATAGATGAATTGTATGGTGTGTAAATGATATCTCATTAAATTTATCAAAAAAGGTATGTACATTATGATTATTATTCACATTTTAAAACATGCAAAACAATATTACCTATTGCATGTATAAACACATGTGTGGAAAATGCAGGCAAGGGTGGTATTTGAAAACTGAAAATTGTGTGCTGACACTCTGGCCTTTACACAGCTCTGAGATCTTGAAGAACATTGGTCCTGCAGGCCGAGGAAGGACAAAGTTCTGAAGGCGATCGCCTCTGTGCAGGGAGGGAGGAGTCCAGAGAAGACCCAGCAGGCTTCAACCATTTCTTTAAAAGAAAAGTAAATACAGCCAGGCATGGTGACTCATGCCTGTAATACCAACTACCCAGGAGGCTGAGGCAGGAGAACTGCTTGAACCCAGGAGGCGGAGGTTGCAGTGAGCTGAAATCACGCCATTGCACTCCAGCCTGGGCGACAGAGCAAGCGTCCATCTCAAAAAAAAAAAAAAAAAAAAAAAAGAAAAGAAAAGTAAATACCACAAAGCGTTCAGATTACATAAGAGTTTGTGGGTACATGAACATTTAGTCTATGATCCTCTATATTTCTCTGTATGTTTAAAATACTTTCCAGTTTTACAAAATTCTACATTTCAAGGCCCCAATCTCTTAAGGGCCGTAGCAAATGCACCCATCAGGACGGCTAGTTGCGGAGAGCTGGTGGTTAAACATTTTCCAGCACACTACTGAATCCAGTCCAGAAAAGCCGGCCCGTTTTTCACAGGAACAAGTAGCCAAAGGAATCTTCAGGCTTCGTTAGGAGAGAGTGTATCTACTTAGGCACATTCAGGATACACCAAGGGCCACCTTATTTGGAGCAGCTGTCATCCAATTTTACTGAAAACTGGGTTTGTACCGTAATCGCAAGAATTCCCACGAAGTACAAAGCCGAGGATTTTGGCCCTGTGAGCCCTGGCTGCCCGCCTGAGGCCAGCCTGTTCTGAGCCTCCTAAAGGAGCCCATACTGTAGCAAAGTCCACGTCCCTCGGAACTGTGGCCTGCCAAAAACTTCCTGACCTGGAAGCAGAAAGTTTAAGAGCATTTCTGGTAACTGTTGGATTCAGCCTCTGACTTCTGGGAGCAGGTTGCTGAAAGTGTTCAACTTTCTGACACAGGCATGTAATTTGAAAGGTTCGATCAGATGCTTAATAACCTAACTGAAATATTCCAAAGCCAAGAACATCAAACAAAAAAAAAAAAAAAAAAAAAAAGAACCTTCTCCTTTATCTCTCTTGCCCTTTTTAAGACATTGGTAGTACCAGGGTTTAACAGGCTTTTAAATTTTTGAAATAATTCAATCCGATGGCTGTGTTTGAGAGTACTTTAACAGTTTAAACAAAATTCAGTCAAAACACATTTTAAAATATACATATATTAAAATATATCTAAACAGTTTAAACAAAACTCAGTCAAAATATATATTAAAATATATTTTGGCTATTATGAGTAATGCTACTATTAATATTTCTGTACAAGTTTTTGTGTGGACACATGCTTCAATCACTAGAAATTAAAAGCAAGCTTTCTCTATCGCGTTCATCCAGATTTTCCTCTTCCATAGCATCTCCTTGCTTTCCCAGGGATTCAAAATCGGAAAGAGAATAAGATGTTGAACCAACGTGAATAAATTGAATATTATGTTAATAAATTTTAAAGACCTTTCTGCTCCCCCCTCACCCTTAAGCATCAGGCGTTTGCGTACATTACATAAACTGTTAGGGGAGTTAATCCCTTTCCCCATGGGACTCATGATCGGTGCAGGTCCTTCCAGAGGGGTAAAAATACAATGGATTACGGCATTGCAGCGTCTGCAGTTCCCAAGGAAGAAATGGCTTTAGACATTGACACAGCAAGCTTGGCGACCGAGTGCGGGTGAGTGTGTCCGAGAGCAGTTGGAAATCGGACAGTTTGTGCTGCAAGGCAAGGACAGGAAGCATTGCGCGTTTCTGCAGCCGTGGCTGGCTTGAGATAATACCATTGTATACGCAGCCCAGCGACCGCTCCCACTGCTGAGAGCCCGGGGCCTGGCGTCTGGCTCCTTGGCTGCGCGCCAGGCTGAGGTCCTGCCGTCTGAAGGCAGGGTGTGTGTCCCCTCCCAGGCGGTCCACACACACAGTGCCGGCCACACCTCACCTTCCAGAGGAAATCTGGCCAGAAAGCCAGACTTCATGACTTCTCCTTTATGAGCTTTCCCCACCCCCAGCCCTAGCCCGGCTTTTGTTTTCCACTTGGGTGCCACGGCTGAATGCAGGCTGCGCTCAGATTGAGATTTGAGCTGATGACAGCGTTATTGGAAAGATACAGTATCTCGCTGTGCCCTGCTGCCTCTGCGGTCAGCGCCGGGCCCGGCTCTTCGGAGAGGCTGCAGCTTCTCATCACTCTCCAAGCTGCCCTCTCACGGAGCCCTTCCACCCGGCAAGAGCGAGACTACTTACCAAGGACTATTTTAGACGTATTTAGCAGCAATATTGTTTGATTTTAACTGGACATTGTTCTAAACACACAAAAGAGTTCAAGGATGTGGCTGCTGGGTTTTGTTCTTCTCCATCCCCTCCTTGTCCGTCCCCACCCCCCTTGAGCTGTCAGATTTCTCTGGGAAAATGGGATGAAAATGTTTGAGGACATTTCCACAATAAAACACTCTAAAACATTTTTTTTAAAGATTTCCTTTCTAGTCATGTCAAGATTGTAACTCAAATCCGCAGAAGTCAGGAAATTCCAAATTTATGTTGACACTTTCCCCTTAAAACCCTCAGCAGATGATAAACAGTGCAGAAAGTCTGTTCCCATCCAAATGTTTCCAATGTAACACCAGGTTCCGGTTTCTCCCCGTGCAAAGGTGCTTCAGGGAGAGAAGGAATGACCCTTTAAGCTGGGATATAGGTCCCAGGGTCCAGAGTCCGCCACCCACTAACACGGGGAATTTCCTATTCTTATATTGGAAAATTTATTATGAAAACAAAATAAATTTAAAAAGGAAGTATTTTAGACAGAGCGTTTTCCTGAATTTCTTAGTAGAAAAGATGAATATTTCAGGTAATTTGACGCCTTGATTTAATTTTTACACATAGAAAAGAATTATGTTTAAAGATGGAAGCAAACCAAGAAGAGGTGGTGAGCTTCTCAAGGTGGAAATGCGCTCCCCTCCCGGCTCTGACAGCCAGGAGCTGTGTGACATCTGTGCAAATCCTCAAACACATCCTCTTCTACAAAACAGAGGATGGTGAGAGACTCTCCCTCATGGGTGACTGGAGATGGAATTAGATAATGCATGTTACCATAAGAAAGTATTTCTAAAAATTCCTCAATAAACAGAGAAAATAATAATCACCTGGATAATAATATTCACAGTGTTAAGGGGCATCAGCAGTTGGCATGAGCTTCAGAGAAACATTTCAACATGCTTTAGATATGAGCAGAAAGGACCAGGGAGAAGAAAACCTTAGAGATCAAGTTTTACAAGGAATGTACTTCTCGTTGACATTGCTAAAGTCACAGAAATTATACTGACAGAGAAATACAGTGACAGAAACAAAATAAAAATCAACCACTCTGTCCAGGGCCTGAGAAACCCATGCAGCTCCAGCTAAATTTGAAAAAAAAAAAAAAAAAGAGAGAGAAAGAGAGAGAGGAGAGAGAGAGAGAGAGATAGTATGTGATTTTCAAGTCAGAATCAAAAAAGCAAACCATGAACAGGCACGGTAGCTCACACCTGTAATCCCAGCACTCTGGAAGGCCAAGACAGGCAGATCATCTGAGGTCAGGAGTTCAAGACCAGCCTGGTCAACATGGTGAAGCCGTGTCTCTACTAAAAATACACACACACACACAAATTATCTGGGCATACTGGCACACGCCTGTGATCCCAGCTACTTGGGAGGCTAAGGCAGGAAAATCACTTGAACCCAGAAAGCAGAGGTTGCAGTGAGCCAAGATCATGCCACTGCACTTCAGCCTAAGCAACAGAGCAAGACTCCATCTCAAAAAAAAAAAAGAAAGCAAACCACAACAAAAATCAGATGTATCTTCTAGGAGATGCCAGTGGCAGCAGGAAAAAGATCGTAGTTATAGATGATCAAGGCAAACAGCAGCTCTAGGAAGAGAATAGCACACACCCCGGGCAAGGCAGGGCTTCTTTGCTCCTCTCCCAGCTTTGTGAGAACAGTGAGCTGGAATCTGTGAGCCCAGGCCTGCAACACCGTGGAAGGGAAGTTGAGCTCCATCAACATGAAGAATGCTGACACCATTGGACTCCCACTGATGCTCTCTGGTGACCCAGGGAAATTAAGTCCCTTTTTAAAAAACTATGGCATGATAAGGAAGTCTTAGAGGACTGAAAAAAGCCAACACATCGTCTCTCATGCTAAAAACAAACAAACAAACAAACAAAAAACAGTTCTGGACATTAAATGGATAGATTAGCTTAATTTTCCTATCTGTAAGGATATTATATTTAAAAGTCTTCTATCAATACACAATCAAGAAAACTGTGGGAAGAGGAAACCATTCCAGACCAATTTCATTTCCGTCTATGATAGACGGTGAGGTTGTGTCATAAAGGCAGAACAATGGACGTGGGATCCGAGGAAACCTGTGCCCCCATGTGCTCCCCGGCCAGGCTGGCACGTGGAGTGGGAGGGGAGCGGGCCAGGCGGGCCTTCCTCCTCCTTGGATCTCAGGCCTGGCTCTTCTCCCTCCCAGCTGCCAGCCGGGACTGCTTCCCTGCCACCGCGCCCACCCTGGCTCACTCGCCTGGTGCTGTTTGCTGTCAGACGTTTTCCGAGCCAACAGGGTCTGTTTTTTTCTGGGTTTCAGTGCAGTCCAGATTCTGTAGGGAAACAGGGGTAGGATTTGGTGGCAGGGCAAATGGATGCATGGCTCTGTCATTCATTGACTGTGTGGACTTGGGCGAGCCACTGACCCTTTCTGACTTAGATATCCTCTCTTATCAAAGGGGGATCAAAATACCATCCTACCGTGATTACCATGAGGATTAAAAATCAAAGACGGCTGTAGTGCGTGGATCAATAAGTGTTTCATTCATTCTCAATGATTGATTTCACATCTTCTCCATCTCTGGGTTTTATCTGGGTCCTAGACCCTTATTGAAAGATATGTTTATGCTTCCAAAAGTAATGTGATAACTTGATTTGTTAGGTTTTTGGTTCTCACCATGGACCCCTCTCACTCCCATACACAGTTTGGATCAGGCTCACAACCTCCTCCCCAAGGCCTGAAATGTTGATGAAAGGAAGTGTATCTGGCTCCCCGCCAGTCCCTACCGCAGGGGCCTTTCAGCCCTTTCTCTGCATTCTTCACCTCCTTTCTTCCTTTTTCCTTCTTTTTCCTCCTTTTCTCTTCTTTTTCCTTCTTTTCTCATCCCTATGTCTTGATGTTGACAATGAGGAAACTCACAGAGGCTACGAGCTCATAACTGAGACCAAGCTCATTGTGAAGGCTGACTTATTTGGGGGATTAACAGCATTTCAATGCCTATTTGAATAAAATTGGGGTTAAAAAAAAAAACAAACAAAAAAACGAGTTAGCACTCTCTGCTCTTGTCTGCCCCGTCACATCTGACCCTGAATTGACTTAGCCGCAGGTCCTTGATATGATACACGTGGCTGTCCACAGAGCCGGTAAATATTTGCCTGTGCAGAGGGGAGGAGATGGCAGTTTCTGCATAGGGCCAGTGATCAGGCAGCTCATCTCTCTAGGTCTATAGTGTGAAACAAACAATGGCAAGTGTGTGAGGGTGGCAGGTATCAGTTCGATTCAGAGGAGCGGCTACCAATGGCCGGGGCCACCAGACTCTATCTCCGAGCCTCTTGGAGTGGCCAACCAAGGCAGGTTGCTTTCTGCCCTGGGTGTTGGTTCTTGACTTGATTCTACCATCCTCCATCCCTGGAGAAGCTGTAGGAGCATTCCAATTCTCCCCAAAGGGCTTAAGAATGAAATGTGTCCATTGCTTTCTCATTATCTGTGGTCTGCTTATCTCCAACTCCTGACTCTCTGCTAAAAGTAAAGAAAGGTGGTTGGGAAGATGTGGTCAGAGGAGTAGATGGAGAAGCAGACATCCCAGGGAGAAGCACGACTGGGCAGCTGGGAGATGCCAGAAGAGCGCAATGCCAGTGTAGGAGACTGCCCCCAAACTGTAGTGAGAGACCCCGGGGATAACTTTGCTACTGAAGAAAAGAAAAATTAGTATGGCTTCCAATGAACCAGCATCGTTTCCTTGATTTGAACTAACCAGATTACGGCTGGGCATGGCGGCACACACCTGTAATCCTAGCACTTTGGGAGGCCGAGAAGGGTGGATCACCTAAGGCCAGGAGTTCGAGACCAGGCTGACTAACATGGTGAAACCCCATCTCTACTAAATACAAAAAATTAGCCTCCCATGGTGGTGCATGCCTGTGATCCCAGCTACTTGGGAGGCTAAGGCGGAAGAATCACTTGAACCTGGGAGGCAGAGGTTGCAGTGAGCCGAGATCGTGCCATTGCACTCCAGCCTGGGCAACAAGAGTGAAACTCCATCTCAAAATAAAACAAAACAAATCAAAAGAAACTATCCAGAATTTTGTTCCATTATCCCTTTCAATTTGGGCAAAATGGGTCCTAAAATATAAATGGAATTGACAAACTGCACCTTCAGCATATCTGAGCAAATCACTCTTTCAGGTGTACATAGCTTCCCAGGATACTACAATATTCGTTTATCATACAATTACTTCTGACAAAAAAAGAAAATCTAAGCCAGAACTACCAGGCATTGCTGGTAGACATACATTCTACCGCAACAAGAATAAAATAAAACAAACAACAGTGCTCCGTCCCAACTAAAATGGTACAATTGTTCATAATTAACAATATATAAAGGATATATGTAAAATATCCTTTGATAGTTTAGCTTGAGGCAGGAGGTAAAAAAAGAAGTAAACAAAACACAATCAGATGCAACATATTGGATGCATTCCAGTGAAGAGCATGTCATAAACTCAAGTCAGTTGATTTCATTATTATTTACGTAGCAGTGTTGCTAGTCTGCTTGTGTGACTTGTCTTCTTGGAAGATAGCACGGCCTGTGGGAAGCATTTGGAATACCGATTAGGCCTAGGGACTGCCTGGGTTAGAATACTGCCTCTGCCACTTTTCACTTTCTAGCTGTGTGACTTTGGGCAGGTTATTTAATCGCTCAGTGCCTCAGTTTCCTTAAATGTAAGGTGCAATGAGTACTAGCGCCTCATAGAAAAGCTATGAGAATTCAGGGCAATAATCCAAACCAATCACTGAGCACAGTGCCTGTTACAGAGTAGAAAGTAAAGCTGAATCATAGCGTCACATATAAAATGACTTACAGCATGTATGCCAAAAGCTGTATGCATGTCAGGTATGTTTATGCTCATTATTAATAATATTTATTGAACACCACACTGAAAGCAATATCCAAGGTACAGGGTTACAAAAAAGTAGAGAGAGAGAACATTTATATTAAATAAATAAATAAAAGCAGTAGGGTGGTTCTTCAAAAAACTAAACATAAAATTATCATATGATCTAGCAATCCCACCTGGGGGTATATACCCCAAAGAAATCAAAGCAGGGATTTAAAGAGATATTTGTCCACTCGTGCTCATGGCAGCATCATTTGCAGCTGCCAAAAGGTAGAAAGGAGCCCATGTGGCTGGCCTGCAACAGATGGATAAGCAAAATGTGATATGGGCATAGGATGGAATATTATTCAGCCTTAAAAAGAAACAATTCTGACACATGCTTTGAAGACGTTATGCTAAGTGAAGTAAATCAGTCACTATAGAACAAATGCGGTAAGATTCTACTTACGTGATGGACCTAGAGTAGTCAAACTCATAGAAACAGAAAGTAGAATAGTGGCTGCCAGGGCCTGGGGGGAGAGTGAATAGGGAATTATTATTTAAAAAGAAGAGAGTTTCATTTAGGAAAAGAATTTTGGTAGCAATGGTGGTGACAGTTACACAATAATGTGAATGAACTAAACGCCCCTGAATTGTACACTCAAAAATGGTTAACGTGCTCAGTTTTATGTGATGTATATTTTATAATAAAATCTCAAAACTCATTTTCTGATAATATGAACAATATCTTAGGTTTGCTGCTTATGAAAGCGGAGCCCTTGAGAAAGTTATTTTAGCCCTCGAGAAAGTTATTTCAATTTCATCATCTGTAGAGTACAAATAATAGAAATATCTACTTCATAAATTCATGGTGAGAAACAAATGAGGTGGCAAATACAAAAATACAGTCTAAAACAATTCTGAGTAAATACCCAATAAATATTAACAGTTATTTAATTTTCATCTACAAAAATAAAGGACTAAGTTCCAAATTTCAAAACTGAAGAGAAAGACTACGATTCATCAATACTACAGTCAAAATGGGGTTTGTTCACTCCAATCTGAAAACCTGTTTTATCCAGCTGAAAACCTGTTTCATCCATTTTATCTAGAATGGACGGCGGCACGTGAGAGATGTGATGGGAGGAACTTACTACTCATGAAATAAAGCACCTCAAGAAGTAGAGAGAAATTAAAACTCCACAACACCAAGTAAATAAAGTTAATAAATGTGAAGAGCTTTGAGTATCATGCTCAGTGTGCATTTCAACACTGTATTAAAGAAGTCTCCATGTGAATGACGAGCCAGCCTTGCAAAGCCCCACAAACCCCTCCTCTCCCCATCTTCTCTGTTTCCGATAGTACTGGCTCATAGTCACCCACCTATATAGGCAGAAGCAAAAGAGATCTTCTGGTTCCCCATTTTCCTCAGCCCCCATCCAGTCTACCAGCTAGTTCCTATCTTTAAGATCTAGCTGCCTCCAAACCTCTCCAAATGCAACTTCTGCATCTCCACCAGCAGCAGCATCTCCTGCCTGGTCAACAGAGGGACGCTGACAACTCTGTCTACATCCACGCTTTCCTCAACCCCCATTACCACACAGAAGCCAGGGTAATTTTTTTGTTGTTGTTCAATTATTTTATTATGGCAAATTACACATAACATAAAATTGATCATCTTAGTCATTTTCAAGTGTACAGTTCGGTGGCCTTAAGTACATTCACATTGTTGTAGAATTTTCATCACCATCCATCTCCAGATCTTTTTTAAAACTTATTTTTAATTTTTGTGGATGCATAATACATAATATTTATGGGGTACATGTGATATTTTCATACAAGCCTACAATGTGCAATGATCAAAACTGGGTACTTGGGATAACCATCACCTCAAACATTGATCATTTATTTGTCTTGGGAACATTTCAAATCTTTCTTCTAGCAATTCTGAAACATGCAATAAGTTATTGTAACAGAACTTTTTCATCTTCCCAAACCAAAACTCTGTACCCATGAAACACCACGCCTCCCTCCCCTAAGCCTTTGGAAAGCACTCTCCTCCCTGTATCTATGAATCTGACTGCTCCAGATAGCTCACGTAAGTGGAGTCATGCAGTATTCAACTTTTGTAACTGGCTGATTTCACTCAGAATAATTTCTAAGTTTCATCCATACTGCAGCATACTGCAGTGGCAAAATTTCCTTCCCTTTTAAGGATGAATAATGAAAATTTGTAATATATAAGTGTGTGTAGGAACAAACAGTAAAATTGAAAGCCTCAAAATAAATACAAGTTTGCAGGTATGTGAAACTATAATGGAGATTCTGTGGTTTGGTTAGACTACCAAAACAACCCAGGTAGACTTAAGCCATTGTTTGCCTTTCTATTACATCTATTTTGTCCCTATAGGCACTCAATATCATTTTAATAAATGGATTAAGTAGAACCGTCCAATAATAAAATGGGCTGTCTCAGAAGGTTGTAATAGCAGGAATGTAAATTGTAATAAAATTATACCAAGAATAGTAACCATTTTCCCAATCAGCTGTAGAAATTTAAAAATTATGTTCTAAGCTCTATTTAAGTGATGTGTATTATTCTCCTTGAGTAATTAAACACAGGAAAAACAAGAGTTTTTGGTTGAAGTTTTACTGTACTATTCAACACACAAACGCATTTCGAGGCTCCTGCTTGCCAAATATTCAACTTCAGTATCAAATTAAAGGAAGAAAGGAATCACTTACAACCCATTCAATAGGGTAAGAATTCATAAGTCCAGATGGATAATAGGTGGGCAGGCAGGGAGGGAAGGAGAAAAAGGGAGGGAGGGAGGGACAGAAAAGGAAAAAGGGAAAGGCTAACTAATATAGAAGAGAAAAAATGGTTTTTAAAACATCATTTTGCAGCTATTATGGTAAAAACTGATTCAGGCAAGAATCATTAATAAATGTAAATCTGGGGCAGAGTTTGATGAAGAACAAGATAGTCTCAGAGTATCTCCCAACAAGATGGCCAGTAACTAAGAAAGAGAAATAGCAACTACACTGTGAAAAAGCACACACCACCTTAACTAAGTGATCAAAATTAACATGACCAATATGAGGCAAATGAATGGACAGCACGTGCTTCCAGGTGGGATGTCCTGAGAATACGACTTATGCACGCTTCTAGCCGCAAATGCACACCCAAAACTAACCACAAAACAGTCAGAGAAACCCAAATTGAAAGACTCTATAAAATAAGTGCCCTGTATTCTTCAAAGATATTGATGGTAAAAGACAAAGACTGAAGGGTTGTTCCAAATTTTAGAAGATTTCGGACACAAAAACAAACGATCCTGGACTGGATCTTATACAGGAAATAAAATTGCTATTAAGAACATTATTGGGTTAATTGAGAAACAGAAATATGGAATTTCTATTGGATAGAAGTATTGTTCCAAATTTGAATTCTTTGTATTTGATAACTAAGCTGTAGATATGTAGGAGAAAATTCCTGCTGTTGGAAGTATACACGGACAGACATGATATAGGCAACCTACATTCAAATGTTTCAGAAAAAAAATATAAATACACACACAACACACACAACACACACATACACACACACACACACAGAGAGAGAGAGAGAGAAAGAGAGAGAGAGAGAGAATGATCAATAAAATGCCCAAATCTTAAACACTGGTGAATTTGAGTGAAGGGTATACAAGGGTTCTTTGTCCTATACTTAGATATTTTCTATACATTTGACATTATTTTGCAATTAAAAGGTTAAAAAAAAGCAAAGCTTACACTTTAAAAAAATACAAACATGGATTCTCAGAGATATCGCGATCAAATTATTGTCAGAGAGATAGCCACTGAAATAACTAAATTGACTGGTAGAGCACAGATAAACAATCATGTGATACAGAATTGGCACATTCATTCTTTGAGCATTCATTCACCCAATGGTAGCTGAGCCCCACTGGGAACCAGCTTGGGTGGGCATGGCCATGAAGGAGAGCGAAAGCCCCTGCCCACCTGTGCTGACAACTAGCAAGAAAGACATACACAAGTCTTCAGGAGCCAAAACGTGAGCTGCTCGGAGTTCCAATGGTGACGCACGGTGTCCAAGACGCAGCTGGGAGAAGGCTGAGGAACTCTGCAGCGGTGGGGCCCATGGGGGCCTCTGGAAACTCTGTCACCTGAGCTGGTCCTGTTGCAGCGGAAGGCCCCTCAGTGGGAAGATCCCGGGTTCGGGGGAGTGTCTCACCTGGGGAATGGTAAATGCAGTATTGCTGACCTGGACCAGCCCAAGGGCTGGAGGAACAGCCAGAAATTCACTTGAACAACTAATGTACTGATTGACTAACAGAAGAAACGTAAAGAAAATATCCAGTTTGATCCCATCATTAAATAAGAGGGTAAACATGCCCAGGGAGTCTAGGTTACTGGTCTCTGTCAGCTGGGTTGTTAAAGAGAGAAGTAAAACTAGCTCTATATCCTTTTTGAAGGTAGGACGTGATGTCCTTCAATGTCTTCTAAAACACACTCCTCTCTATTTTTTGCTTCAGCTTTCCCATGGACGTCTTCCTTGCTGGGCTTCCAGTTCTTGGACACACAACTGTAAGGAACTGCCCAAATCTCATCTGTAGTAAAGATCAGACAAGAATTAAACAAACAGCAATAAATATTGTATTGACTTAACCTAATCCCATCAAGTTAATTCTAAAGGGCATCTTCTACTGGCTGGTGATGTGGTCTAATGGAGCGAGTTGAAATTTCATCATATGCTCATTGGACAAGTGCGACTCACATGCCCAAGTGTTGTTAATAAATGATCTAGAATTGCTGGACAACTAGGCGGGGCCAATCTCCAGCAGGGCTTAGGAGCAGCAGTGCACACAGTGGCCATATCTTGACTGATACTGCCTTCAAAGGTCTGCTAATCCTAGGATCTATGTGAATTGTTTTATGACACAAGGTGAATTACTAACTGGGCTTGATGTTAATGGAAAACCCTCTAAAACAAATAGCATTTAGATTTCTTGCCTATCACAATAAAGATTAGCATTTGCAGATAGACTCCTGAAAACCACCCTATTTCTTTAAAGACAGGGTTAAATTGACACTGGAGGAGTAGAGAAAAGGGAACCCCATTGCGCCTATGTTACGTTGGGTTAATCTCTCACAACCTAAAATATAGGCAGAGTTTCCATGTCATTCTTTTTTTTTTTCCTTTTTGAGACGGTGTAACTGTAGCATCCAGTGAAGTGAGGTGAAGTGGAGCAATCATAGCTCACTGTAGCCTCCAACTCCTGGATTCGAGCAATCTTCCTGACTCAGCCCCCTGAGTAGCTAGGACCACAGGTGTGCACCACGACGCTTGGCTAACTTTTAAAATTATTTTTGTCAAAGCAGGGTCTTGTTATGTTGCCCAGGCTGGTCTTAGACTTCGGGCCTCAATTGATCCTCCCGCCTCAACCTCTGAAAGTGCTGGGATTACAGGCGTGAACCACTACACCTGGCCTGTCGCTCTTGTTATATCACCTTTCTCCCCAAAATGAGTACACTGTATCAATGACTGAAACATTCAAAAAAGTGAGATGTGCAAATAAAAGAAAATTCAAGGGAAAAAGTAAATGTGCATCTGCATCTCAGCAAATCTATGTGATTCTCATTTTCCACTGAGGTCATGTGATAGCCACCTTGGTTCATTGAGTTGGTGACATCTGAACCTTAACCAAAGGGGTAACTTCCATTTAACTTAGTAATAGTCAGCTGTTTGTGGAATAATTTCCAATCATACTTCCTGCAGCGAGGGGTTTTAACTAGCATGGAAGCAAGGCAGTGAACATTGCCGTACTAACCTGGGTACAGATGTGGCTCTACACACACACACGACACACACACACACGCACACATACACACACACACACACACACCTGTTCCCTGATTGCTTCCATGCTGGAGCTCATGAGGATGACAAGAGGGAGCTTCTCCGTGGTCAGGAAGTAGATTGGGCAGGGTTTCGGGAGCTGTTTTGCAGGTCTGGAAGGGGAAGGGGACTGAAAGCTACTTTTGAGAGCAATGAAACCTGCTGGCCTTTCTCCTCTCTCACAGGAAAAGGGCCAGGGGAGAGAGCAAAGAGCAAAGAAGGGAGCAGCAGGAAGTAAAGGGGGCCTCTTGCCAGGCAGCACCACAATTACGCGAGGAATGAAGATTCACTTTTATTACTCAACTAAACTCAGCACATTTATGCCTTCTCTGCAACTTATTGGATATGTTGCCTACTCACCCATTCCCAGCTCTAAAGAGAACTTAGGAGATTTGCATGAAAATAGCTTCCCTCATTTGATCAGTGAGACTATAAAGCACTGTCCCCTTTATCTCTGAGCACCCAGGAATCTGAAATTATCTATGGAGCCTAACTGATCTCAATAGATGGTTTCTTTCCTTGGGATTACCATTTGCACTAAGGATTCTTTAGTCAGGCATCAGTTCTCATTGAAGGCCTGGAAGAAAGTGAACTCCGAGTTCAAGTAAGCCACCCTTATTCTTTGAAGCTGTGTAATTCAGTACACAAGAGTCAGTTTACCTCTTCTAAAATCC